TGCACAACAACATCACCAAACATCATGAATGTGAGAGTACAAAAACATCACCAAGCTTTATTTCACGTACACGTTGCACAAACACATCACCAGACCAGAGTGTGAATGCTCATTGCGGTGGCTGTCTCACACATATTATCAGTGGTAACCATTCAAACCTTGCATATCCATCCGGCCTCTCAAGATACCGTATTCTCAATCGTCCAACCGGAGAGGGGTCTGTCACACTGACTTAGACCGGTTGGATATTTTGCAATTGGCCAACCGGAGAGGGGTCAGTCACTCTGACTTAGACCGGTTGGATATTTTGGGTAGCCTACACACTCTAGGCTCCCCAGCCTGCCTTTATTTCACGTACTTGTTGCACAACAACATCACCAAACATCATGAATGTGAGAGTACAAAAACATCACCAAGCTTTATTTCACGTACACGTTGCACAAACACATCACCAGACCAGAGTGTGAATGCTCATTGCGGTGGTTGTCTCACACATATTATCAGTGGTAACCATTCAAACCTTGCATATCCATCCGGCCTCTCAAGATACCGTATCATTCTCAATCGTCCAACCGGAGAGGGGTCTGTCACACTGACTTAGACCGGTTGGATATTTTGCAATTGGCCAACCGGAGAGGGGTCAGTCACTCTGACTTAGACCGGTTGGATATTTTGGGTAGCCTACACACTCTAGGCTCCCCAGCCTGCCTTTATTTCACGTACTTGTTGCACAACAACATCACCAAACATCATGAATGTGAGAGCACAAAACATCACCAAGCTTTATTTCACGTACACGTTGCACAAACACATCACCAGACCAGAGTGTGAATGCTCATTGCGGTGGCTGTCTCACACATATTATCAGTGGTAACCATTCAAACCTTGCATATCCATCCGGCCTCTCAAGATACCGTATCATTCTCAATCGTCCAACCGGAGAGGGGTCTGTCACACTGACTTAGACCGGTTGGATATTTTGCAATTGGCCAACCGGAGAGGGGTCAGTCACTCTGACTTAGACCGGTTGGATATTTTGGGTAGCCTACACACTCTAGGCTCCCCAGCCTGCCTTTATTTCACGTAC